GTGACATCATCACATACTGGAGGGCACTGATATTACCAAAACATGGCAGAATTTCTCCTTTCAAGTTGTTTCTCGACAAATACAGGATTACCAATGATGTTAAATTGCAAATAGCTGAAGGAATTTCCTCAATCAGATTGTTTTTATGGAGAGACAGAACTTGCAAGTTTCTCAAATTCCCCAATGAAGCAGGAATAGAACCATTAAGAGAGTTCTCGTACAACTGTAGATCAGTAAGAAACCTTAGGTAACCTATTTCTTCAGGAATAGGGCCAGAAAGGTGATTACCATCAAGGTACAAGACAGACAAGTTGGTCAAATTCCCCAATGAAGCAGGTATAGAACCATTAAGAGAATTATTGGACAACTGCAGATCAGTAAGAGTCCTTAGGTAACCTATTTCTTCAGGAATAAGGCCAGAAAGGTGATTATCATAAAGATACAGAAGGGACAAGTTGTTCAAATTCCCCAATGAAGCAGGAATAGAACCATTAAGAGAGTTATTGTACAACCGCAGATCAGTAAGAGACCTTAGGTAACCTATTTCTTCAGGAATAAGGCCAGAAAGGTGATTATCATAAAGATACAGAAGGGACAAGTTGTTCAAATTCCCCAATGAAGCAGGAATAGAACCATTAAGAGAGTTATTGTACAACCGCAGATCAGTAAGAGACCTTAGGTAACCTATTTCTTCAGGAATAAGGCCAGAAAGGTGATTATCATAAAGATACAGAAGGGACAAGTTGTTCAAATTCCCCAATGAAGCAGGAATAGAACCATTAAGAGTGTTAAAACTCAAATTCCCCAATGCAGCAGGAATAGAACCATCAAGAGAGTTATTCTTCAAACTTAGCTGATCAAGAGACCACAGGTAACCTATTTCTTCAGGGATAGGGCCAGAAAGGTGATTATCATAAAGATACAAAAGGAACAAGTTGGTCAAATTCCCCAATGCAGCAGGAATAGAACCATCAAGAGAGTTATTCTTCAAACTTAGCTGATCAAGAGACCACAGGTAACGTATTTCTTCAGGGATAGGGCCAGAAAGGTGATTATCATAAAGATACAGAACAGACAAGTTGGTCAAATTCCCCAATGAAGCAGGAATAGAACCATTAAGAGAGTTATTGTACAACCGCAGATCAGTAAGAAACCTTAGGTAACCTATTTCTTCAGGAATAGGGCCAGAAAGGTGATTATCATAAAGATACAAAAGGGACAAGCTGGTCAAATTTCCCAATGAAGTTGGAATAGAACCATCAAGAGTGTTAGAACTCAAATCTATCTCAGTAAGAGACCTTAGACAACTGCAGATCAGTAAGAGTCCGTAGGTAACCTATTTCTTCAGGAATAGGGCCAGAAAGGTGATTATCATAAAGATACAGAAGAGACAAGTTGTTCAAATTCCCCAATGAAGCCGGAATAGAACCATTAAGAAAGTTATAGTTTAAACGTAGATAAGTAAGAAACCTTAGGTAACCTATTTCTTCCGGAATAGATCCGTAAAGGTGATTATTATTAAGATGCAGGATAGACAAGCGGGTCAAATTCCACAATGAAGCCGGAATAGAACCATTAAGAGTGTTAAAACTCAACGCTAGCTCAGTAAGAGACTTTAGATGACCTATTTCTTCAGGAATGAAACCATTTAAATGGTTGTCAAACATATGGAGGATTTGAAGCTTGGCTAGTGAGCCGATTTGTGGTGGTACTGTACCTGAAATCTGATTCCTCGACAAATCAAGATAAATAAGATTAGTGAGTTCACCAACATCAGTTGGAATGGTGCCAGAGAAGTTGTTCATGCTAAGATCAAGATATTCAAGAAAAGGAAGAGAAGAAAATGGAAAATCATCGAGTGTACCAATGACACTAGTATTTGTAATATTCAACATGTTTACTCTACCGTTAAAGCATATAACTCCATACCAATCCCTGCATGAGTTAGAACTTGGTGTCCATGAAGCAAATAAGGAGTTGTTCTGGTTCTTGAAAGTTGATTTCCATTTCAGGAGGGAAGTTGCTTCCTCGACTGAAGCAAAAGTAACTGAATGGAGATATGAAAGAGTAAAAAACTGAAGTAAAGAGAATATTTTGCTGGGAGACATCATCATATTTTAGTTTACTATTTTGGATTTCAATGAACTAATTGTGGAGGGTTCATAGGATTTTATATTGTACCTAACTTATTGTTAAAGACCAAATTTCGGCTGCTCTCTCTCTCTTTATGTTCATATTTTATCAATGAAAATATCGTCATGCATTCTCAAGTCAAAGCAAAAGTCAAATTTGAGTTGTTCTTGTTTTTGTCTTCTTCTTTTTTTATGCATGTTATACATACCTACAAAGCTATCATATAGAAAATAAATTTTAATTCAGACAAGGACTTAACCAAATAATTTTGTTGTGTTATCAGACAAGATCACATGGTTTATGATGTATATATGTTTGGTTCTCATTTTTTCACCTCTAATGTAGTAATCTTAGATAAATAAATTTCTACACTGTTTTAATATCTCTAATATACTTTGTACTAGATTAAAACGAGTTTAGGTAACGCGATATGACTAGTTATGAGAATTCATATAGCAAATGTTATTAATTTCTCATATGGTTACTCAACTATTGATAATATACTATCCATTTTTAACAACCCACCCCAATGATTTGACCCATTTGAGAGAGAGAACCGACCCAATTTTTTAATATCAGAGTCGATATATAAATTTTAAACCAATAAGGAATTATTTTGGTTGTTGAAATAATCATCATATCTTATTTTTTATAGTCTTAATATTCACACTTTGTCTGTTCATATTTTATTAGACAAAATTTGTCATTGTCAAGTCAATTTTTTTGTTTTTCTCTTTCCTTTGTTTATCCGTGTGCTACACTTTTTTTTTCAAGTAAAAAAGACTATCATATGGAAAATAAATTCCCTCAAAAAGAAAACAAGATAAAAAAGAAATGCATAAACCTGTTCGTTGAATACATTAATTTGCTTCTTCTTCTTTCCTCTGCATAATAATTTTGTGTTCCAATTCTACAATGATTCTTGCGAGCCATTTCGGATATCCAGTTGAAACCATGAAACATACTACATATAATCCAATACATAGTCTAATTCCATAGCTTATAATAACAGCTTTCGAAAAATATTGAGATATTCAGTATTGCTTTCTTGATCGTCTATATGGTATAATTTGCCTCTGATAATAGATCACTGCCACAACCTTTCTAAACTGGGAATCCACGCAATTCATCATTACCCTTAAAGGTATGGAATTAAACATTCTTGAGGGATACATCCTTGGAGACGATTGTAGGAGACTCGTTCTTTTTCCTTGTTAATTCTCTTTCCCTCGGTTGCAGTACCCAAAATATATTCCTCCGTCAATTCAGCTTTTGATCAACAGAAAGACTATTGAGTCGGTAGAAAATGGATGATGACATACACTTCATTCAAAGCATATAAACTCGTATACATGACTAACTTACCTCTTTCATCCAGAAATTTACAAAACAAAAAGAGTGAAAGGTCAAAAACACACCTAAAGTATCCTTGATTTTTAGTATACCTCAACTATTAGGTATGTGAGTTTTCTACCTCATGAACTATCATCAACGACTGTTTATCAAAACACAACTTAACTATTAGCTGTTTAACTCTTCCTACTTGAAATATCACCTTAACGAAAAAATGCACTTCATTTTTTCAATCGAATATCTCTTCAGGGATACACATTAGATTCATTTTCTTTTTTTGGTACAATGGAAAATCTACACACAATATTCATTGAATACATCAAAACATTACATAACTTGATATATCATCAATATTCATTATATTACATTTCCTAAAGTTAATAAAGGAACAAAAAGCCATAAGCTGCAGTTTCTGTTATTGAAAGATTTCTAGCTCTTCTAGCTCAATCAATCTTGCCATAACTTCTTCTTCCAGGACCCCAGCTCCTCACTGTAATCCAAATATCTTAGTTAAATGTCAACTGAGGCTGATCCTTTTAAGAATCTTATACTTATTTAAATTATTGGAAATGAAAATCTTGTTAGTATAGAGCATCAATTAGTAAAATAAATAAGATATTATTAATAGCTACAATAAACTAAAAGATCAGTGTAGAATTTTTACCTCAAGTTCTGAAATCAAAACTTATAACTTGTCTAGAAGTGATTATTTCTTCTTCTGTTATTCCTTTGCCTTCCCTGCTTCTTTCTCCTTCCCATCATTATTTTGTGCTCCCGCTCTACAATGATTCTTGCAAGCCATATCAGTTTTCCAGTTGAAATCATGAAATATATAATGGACAATCCAATACATAGTCCACTCCCATAGCCCATAAGAGCACCTTTCCAAAAATCATTCAGAAATTCAGAATTGCTTTCTTCATCATTTAGTTCAGAAACGGTATCATTTGTCTCTGATACTGAATCATTACCACAGCCTTTTGAAAGTGGGAATCCACGTAATCCATCATTACCTTCATATGAATTGTTCTCAAAGGTCTGAAATTGATTTCCTTGAGGAATGCACCCTTCAAGATGATTGTAGGAAAGATTGAAGACTTCAAGAGAAGTAAGTAAAGCAAATTGTTCTGGTATCTTTCCTACAAGATGGTTACTTGACAGGTCCAATGATTCAACCAAAGATAAACTTCCAAGTGATGACGATATATGACCTTCCAATCCATTATGAGATATATTCAATATGTGAACTGCAATGAGTTCCCCCATGATACTTGGAATCTGCCCTCCAAATTTATTACTTGAAAGATTGATAACGGTGTACAAATACAAGATTCTCCCAATTTCACGCTCAAATCCCTTGGATACGACAGCTACCGAGTCTTGGTAATATCCATCAGTTCCTTCATAATGTGGTGCGTTCATAGTTTGATCAATTGTCCTCATGGCTTTCAAATGTTGAAACAAACCCGTTGGTAAGTTTTCGGTGAAGGCATTGGAAGAGAGATCTAACATTCGAAGATTAGGAAATATGTTTTCAATCGTTGGAGTTCTAATGGACCCATGCAATTCATTGGATCTCAAGCTTAATACTTGCAGCTTTGGAAGAGTTCCCAACCACATCGGGAATATATCAATGAGGTGATTATCTCCTAAATCAAGAACTTGCAACTCTTTGCAATTGGCCAAAGATTGGGGAATTTTCCCCTCTAGTTTATTGCCGTGCAAGTTGAGGCTTCTCAGAGAACTTCCAAATCTAAAAGTGTTTGGAAGAGTCCCTGTAAGACTGTTGTGGTGCATATCCAGAACCTGGAGGCTACTGATATTACCCAAACATTGCAGAATTGCTCCCTTCAAGTTGTTTCTCGCCAAATCAAGCATTACTAATGATGTCAAGTTGCAAATAGACGAAGGAATTTCTCCACTAAGATTATTTTCTGATATGAAGAAGTATGTTGTGGAATTTGGTGGCATAGATAGGGACCCTTGAAGAGAATTGGATCGCAAATCAATTGTTTGTAAAGATTGAAAAGGAGTTAAGTCCACACTTGTCAGCATGTTGTGGGATAGATTAAGAGTTTTCAATGAAAACATCCAGTTAGACGATGCCCAATCTGGAAATCTTCCTTGAAGCTTATTATTAGAAAGATCTAAGTCCTCAAGCTTCTTTACGGATCTTAGAAACCCCAATTCTTTCACTTCACAGGCAGCCAACCGTAAGTACAGAAGTGACTCAGGCAAAGTAAAATTAACTCTGTTTTCATTTGTGAATGAGATGCTATTATATGAAAGACCAAGAGATGAAAGATGTTTGAGGTCTGAAAAGAAGCTGACATCCACACTACCACTAAAATTATTGAAAGAAAGATCAAGAGTTGTGAGGTTCACAAGGTTTTGAATTGACTCGGGAAGATGGCCTTGCAGCTGATTATTGCCTAGATCAATAGATAATAGTGAATTGGACTTGATATCCTCAAGCTGACCAGAAAAATGGTTATTACTCAATTCTAAATCAGTTAGTGAAGGAAGGGAGAATATCGATGATGGTATTGTTCCATTGAGGAAGTTACCTGTAAGGAACAAATACTCTATGAGAGTGAGATTCGAAAGAGATTCAGGAATAGGCCCCCAGATATTGCAGAAAATAAGAAACAAATTATTCAGTGATGTTAGATAACCAAGAGACTCAGGCAAATAACCAGAAAAATTCACTCCTTGGAGATTTAAATCTGTGAGAGATGCGCTGCTGTTCCATTTGGTCTTTGGGAAATAACCATTGAGATGATAATTGATGGATAAGTCAAGTATTTTTAGTTTGGGCAGGTGAAAAATACTCTCCGGTATTACTCCATACAACTCTGAATGCCCAAGCACCAGCGTTGTAAAATGAGAAGAAAAATTAAGAGGAATGGTGGAAGAGATGCTTACACCACTAAGATCAAGCACTCTTAATAGGGTCAAATTCACAACTTGTAAAGCCATGTCCTAATTGCAATCTTATTACATAACCTTAAAATACATTTTTTTTTTTTTTGGGGCCATTAACCAATTTCCAGCCACACTTTACATCAGCAATACCAAAAGCCCATTTCCCCTTTTGTTTTCCAATTCAACCGACAACAATTTCCTCCACCGACCCAGGCCAAAACAAAGAAAAACTATACCCATACAATTACGATACATACACCAAATACCCAGCACCAAACCTACCCGACCCCACCTTATTTTTTTCCTCTTCCTCGCGTGACCAAACGTGAAACCAGAAACAACGTCAAAATACACGGAAGCCATTCACAACGTTAACATCCAACTCCAACGTCCCTTTCGATCCGTACAGCAGGGGCACCTGCAATCTGGTTTGGCAGCAGCGCGAAGTCGTCCTTACCATGCGCGAGATGAGGCCACGTTGCTCGTCAAGGACGAGAGATTGATCTTCACAGTCCGTCCCCCTTTCTCCTTTCAGAATGAGTCAAAACCTCAAGAAAAGGGTGTTTAGCTTGAACGGTGAAAGATTTTGAAGTCGAATTAGAGTTGGGCCTTGTTGATCCGAATTTTTTACCCTTTTTCCCCCCCAAAATCTGAACCTTATTCCCCCTCTATATATGTTGCTTCTCATTTTTACTGTAGGGAGGATTTTTCGGAGTTAGATTTTTTTTAATTAAGGCAGAGAGTGGAAAAGGGGAAAGATTGTTTTCTG